GAGAGGTCTTTGGGGTTGTCATGAGCCCCTTCCTCAAATGAACTCGGCATGGCCTCTGGTCATCAGAGGTGGAACTGCAAATCCTCTGACATGCCTCCCAGCTCCGTGCCAGTCAGCTTCTCACCTGTGCCACAGTGGTGCTATGCAGGCCCCAATTTACTGCTGCGGAGACCTCATCTTGCCTCACCACAATGTTTAAGACATTAACTCTTTCAGTCTCTCACACTTTTCCACTCTTGTCTTTTCTTCTTTTTCCACATTTAATTTTCTACAGGAATTTGGGTTATTTACCCTCCCCAAATCTCAGAAGTTTCTCTGGGAGCAGGTGCGTCACATTCTTGGTTTAGGGCCAACAGAGCTGTTCTAGAAACTGAGGAAGAGTAGCTTGGGGAATGACTTCCGTTTATCTTCAATAGTGCGGAGTTCTGTGCTGCTTCCCATGCCTCTCTCATTTAGCAGGACCGTTCCTGTGTGTGCCTTCAGTGACCAGCTTGCTTTCTGAACGCTGGGTCCTCTGCAGTGCATGTTTGTATGACAAACGGCTTCAGGTTCCCTTGGGTTTGGGTCACAAAGTAATTGACAACATCCTGAAGGCTTGGGAGTGTCACCTGTTGCACCAAAACCAAGATAAAGCAAACAAACAAAAAACCCCACCAAATAAAACACACTGTGTGTGTTGAGAATACATTTTCAAAAACACGCTGGCAGACTGGGATCCCTAGCGATGTTTCTCAAACAACTGATACTGGATTTACATCCAGCATGTGGATGCAGTGAGGTCTAGGACAGCCCTCCGCAATCTGTGGTAACGTTTTGACCCTTGAACATATAACCCCTTCCCTTCCATCAAGTGAGTAAACAAAACCAAAAGGCAGATCGCTCTCTGTACTGTTCTTCAATGACTGCTGATGCTCTTTCAGCAGATGGTATAACACCAGATGCTTTTTCAAACCAACAGGATGTTTCTCAGGACATGAGTTAAACACGTCTTAAGAAAAATGGAAGAAAACTTTTAAACAACATAACAGGGTCTGTACAGCCCTGCTCACACTTCAGCTAAGCTAGTTTTATTTCTCCAAGTTACATGGAGTGCATTTTGAACTTCCTCTAGCTGCAACGAGAGCTCAGTTTTCAGACTTAGTACTGAAGCCTGAGTTGAAAAAAAAAAATTAAGCAATCTTGGGGGTTTCATGAATGGTCTGATTTTATTTTTGTTAGAAGATGATGATATGTGTTTTTTTCCTACTTTTCTAGTTCTTAAAAGGTAACTTGTTCTTTGAGATTAGGTTAGTTGGACTAACAAGAGAGGTGAACACTCCACATACTTTACTTTAACTCACAAATTATAGTTACAAATTTACTAGAGCTTTTCTGTTTTTCTGCAAAGTGCTATTTCTTATACCTGCTTAAGAATCTTCAAGGGAATTGCTCACTTACCTGTCTTTCCAATTCAATAACGTAACTTGTTCCTTTGGACATCACTTTGTAGTGCTTTATGCATGGGGCACTGAAAGAAAATGAAAGTTGGTATGCTGCCTGAAGTGAAATACTTTCTGATGTACCATTGTCATTATAAACTCCTTTGCAGGAGCAATGGGTGTGCCTTGTAATATCCCCAGAGCTTAGTGAAGGTGTGCCAGGGTTTTTTTTTTTTTCCCCTGTTTTAGTTTAGAAACACTGAGAATTGCAAATGTCATTCCTGGTGTCTCAGTTGCCTCTTGTTCTGAAGCTCTACAAAAGCCAAAACATGGCAACTCATTTGAAATGTGGTGTGTTTTTAGACTAAGTTACTGTTTGAAAATACTTGTCTCTCTTGTTTTTGTTGTTTGTTTTAAAGGGGCATGGCATGTTCCATTTTCATTCTGCGTGATGATTTCTTAAACTGAATGGAGTTTCATGGCATTTCTGTTTACCCAAAGAAATGGGCTTTTGCTGGCTGATCTTCATTGCTTCTTTGTTTAATCTAACTGGCTTTGGAGGAGGAGAGAACCAAGAAATCTGTCTCAGGGCTGCCCTCGCTGCCTCACTTACCTTTCTCAAAATAGCCTGAAGGCAAGGCATATGTTTCACATGCTAACTCTGGGTATTAAGAATTTGGCTTTAATACAGCACATACTAGTTAAGAATGGGATAACACATTGTGGAATCAACCTACTGCAGCTTGTGTTGGATAGTGATTGCGTAGTTCTTGCTATCACTGCCGGGACGCAGGATCAAATTCCCACATGAAGGGTTCTTTTCTAACATCTTTATTGCTTCTTGCCGAGATACTGCATAGAAGCACCTGCATAGAAAGGAGGAAGGAAACGGCATGAATGTGAGTTACGCTGGCATGGCCACGTCGTTCTGAGCTGCATGAAGAGATACGGTCTACCACGCTAACACCTCTTCACAATGCTAGGCTTATCCAGGGTAACTAGCCATGGCTGCCAAGAGGCATGACATCTGAAGGACTCTTGCTGATTAATGCTACTGTAGGAGCATAATTCAGGACAGCAGTGCTTTGGCATTCCCGGAGAGAAAGTGAAGCTTTCATACAGGTATGCTGCTTGCTGGACCCTTGGAAAGAATGTGAGAAGAGTAACCTGGACTTACCTTGAATTTCTCAATGGTAATCAACGTTTTGTCAGAAGGGCAGATAACAGCAGCCCAACGTGTAGCTTTCTGAAAAGTTTTTTAAACATAGCAATAGACTGCACTCAGCCTTTTCAAAACAAAGGGCACTGTAGGAAAGCTGCAGGAGTAATCTTTCCCTTAGGAAATCTCTGTAAAGGCCTCAAGGGAGACTTTGTTCATTGAATATTATACAACCCTTGTACAACAGCTGAATTTTGAACCTGTGCATGAAAATAATACTTTGAAAGAAGGGAAGGCTCTTTAGTCAGATTGGGGTTTGCATAGTTCAGTCAGAGCTTACGCTGGCATAGGGGTCAATGTACTGCTGGGAGGGCTTTCTCTGTTCAAGGATGCGCTGGAACAGTCGTTAAGCGTAATCCTTCTTTGCTTTTCCTTCTCTAGCACTTCATGCATTCTTGTAAGTTGCCCAGGTAGTAATGACTCATCTGGTGGAACTGACAGCTGAAAATGAACAGTGTAATTGAAAAGAAAGAGTGGACAAACATTGTGAGCTAATCTCTGAGCACAGCTGCTGTGTAGGAATCTTTCTTACCTGCTTTGTTTTAAGCAGCTGTGATAATCTGTAAGGTTTGGATTTGTCTCCGCTTTGAATAAAATGCTGCACATGCGTTTTTGTTAGAATAGTGAAATAAGGATATCTGTGTCCTGATTCAGAGGAAATGTGCATTGGCGGAAGTGGGAATGATGTAAGAATCCACAATGATATTTTGCAGTTGCTGCACTGCAAAAGGCTGTGTAAATGTGATTTAACCTATTTCAGCCATCCTCAGCTTTAAGTGATTCAGCTAGGCCAATGCAAAGTCATTTGTGAACAAACTTCATTTATTTTTTCCACTGGTCATTGAAAATGGCAAGACCTTCTTTGATAAAGTGCATTTAGCTAAGAAGAATAGTAGAATAAAACACAGGGCTGAGGGGTTCTCTCAGGTGTGCAGTTTGACCATTTTTTTGGTTATGTCTTTATCCCATGATAAAGACCTAGGGAGTTGTCTCTCTCAGAGCAGGCTCCCTTTTTCACAGCTGCAGGGCTTGTGCTAGAAGTCTTTTCTTCCTGGACAGCAAACAGTGGATTGGGAACTGTGTCTGACTAGGTACCATGGCAGTGTGTATTGCAGATGAGCTGGGGTTATATCAGCCTGAATTTTGCTCTCCTCAGGAAAACAAACACCCACCCCACCCCAAACCCAACCAAACCAAAACAAACACAACCCCTCAACAGTGCAGTGTGTGCAAACACCTCAGAAGTGAGGCTTTGTGCCTGTGGAAGCCAACTTCTGGCATGCATGAAGACAAAAGCCCCTTATAGACTCTCTTGGCATGAAGTGAGATAAAAAACTCTTCCACACCTTTGTTACAGTGAGAATAAAGCCCTTCCATTCTTTTCCACATTCACAGTTATTAGCCTGAAAGAACAGAAAATGACGGTGTAAGAACAACTACAGCAACCAAATAAAAGTATATTATTTCATGTGGAAGCCTCAAATAGCTCTCACCCTTTTAGAAGTACCATGCCTGGAAATTACCTCCCTGCGAAGCTACATCACACCCTGAAACCGTGCAATGCCCCAGTACTGCATGTTCAATTAGAGGGAGAGGACAGAGGTGGGAAGGTAAAAAAATCATATGCTCTGCTGGAGTCAAAGGAGAAGGTTATGTGGATCCAAGAAGAAGGCCAAGCTAAAGAAATAGGCGAGTCTCAAGCATAAAACCCTCTAGACAGTCCCTGAGGCACTACAGTCTGTATGGCTTCCGAGTCGTGGGGTGGTCAGATATTTTATCCCCTTCTTGGTTTTACAGATGACGTTGGCCCGCCAGTGTGGTAGTACTTCCTGCTTTCTCTTGTCTATTTTCTTGTTCAATTCTTTGCTCATTTCATATTCCCAGATACTCCTGAGGAAAACTTCTAATGCCTTGAGGGGGAGTTTCCCTGGTGTTACGTTCCTTTTCCCTGCCTCCCTCTCTGACCGCCTTTTGGTGCTGGCTGGCTGCAGGCTGTATGCTTACATGTCTGTCAAGCAGGTAGCTCTACTCCCACATCAAAATCGAGCTCTGAATATCTGTGGGAGGCGGAGTAAAGTACCGAGTGCTTACAAATCGCAGCTTTCCCCTTTTACCTTCAGTTCTAGTTCCCTGTTTGACAGCATCAGGATGAATCGTGCAGAGCCATTTTCATCTGGATAAACATTGGTTGCTGAGGTCAAAGATGATATATCTAATTTCTGCGAGTACTAAGGAGGGGGGAAAAGAGAAATAGCACAAGTTGTAATTTTCACCAAAAATCTAGCTGCTCTCCAAAGGAATTAGTTTAGAAGAAAATAGATTGAAACTTTTTTTTTTTTTGGCTAGAATTTGGGTTAAGTTTAACTGACAGACATGCCAAAGCTCAGTCCTTTGCTTCTGCTTACAGAAGCTCTTCTCACCAACAACATACCTTCTGGATTTTTCCCATCCTGATCTTCATAATCACAGACAGATTAAATCCATGAGACCCCTCCCCGAGTATTTGCTTTGTGACTCCAACTAAGCCCTCAGCCAGAGTACTCCATAATAATACCAAGCACTTTTTCCCCACTTGCATAAAGGAAAGTCCTGTTACACACCGTGATAATTTTGCCCTTGTACACAGCTGAGGAAAAAGCACTCAGTAAAATTATAGAGCAATGTGCATACATTTGTAGCTCAGGTGCCAAAAGAATGCTTAGTTTTTGTTTTGATGAGGCAAATTAGTATACTATAGTTTGTTTCACTCTGGCTTTTTTTGATCTCAGCCTTTCTGTTGCAACGTTCAGTACTATTTTTTGGACTATGCAGATGAGAGAGGAAAGGGTGCCAAGAGGTATCTGGAGTACATAAGGATTACTTGATGAAAATAACTGAGGCACTTAATCAGATGGGGAGTTACAAAGACAGCACATTACTCACTGTTGGGGCTTTCTTATCATCATAAAAGAAGAGCATAGTTCCTCTGAGTTCTGTCCAGTACACTCTAAATTCCTGTTAGAAAGGAGAAACTGTCAGTTTGTGAAGACTATCTTTTTAGCTCCCACAAAATGCTGAAATTGAAAGAACTGCTAAGAAAGAAACTGTGTCACTATATGTTAGTTATCAGTGTTTTAAAGATCGTTAAAGAGCAAATATGTATTTTGCAGGCAGTTTATGCAAAAAAAAGAAGTTCATTTAATAATTCTTTACAGGCAACAAGTTATATAGCCTCAGGCGTTGTTTTCTAGTATCCTAATCCAGCATGGATTAGGAAAGAAAACTTTACTTTTAACTAATTTAATGTTTTAAACATTTGTCAACAATTTGTCAACGAATTTAAAGGGAGTATGTAATGGAAGGAAAATATATTTTAAATGCCACTTTAAAATCTTGCTCTCCCTAAAAGGCATACAAATGGAAAACAGTGTGAGATGAATATGTGTAAAGACCCCAATCTCCTGAACTCCATTCTCTTGAAGTGCCTATTGCATTGAATTTTGGTCCTGCCACTTTACTTGCTATAAGGAGAAGATCATGGAGCTTGATGGTAGTGTGACCTATTAACTAGACTTCTTGCATTTGAAGTGGTATTTTATATGCTTTGTCTCTAAAGTACGTGTAGTAGTGTTTGTAAAACAACACCTTGCCAAGGTAAATACAATTGTGTGACTCTTCTAACTGTTCCCTCATGCAGTCGCGCCAGAGTGATGGGAAATGTTTTTCTGTTTTCATGTGCCCCTGAGAACTATAGCTGTTAGGGGACACTGAATTGGGAAGGCAACTTCTGTAAAACAGCAACTCTGTTCCTCTGTTCTAGTAGTTTTCAGTTTACTTACCTGTTTTGTGTTTGTTTGGGTTTTTTGTTGTTTGCTTTTTCTTTTTTTTGAGGTGGGGCTTTAAAACATAGTCACAAAGAAATAGAAGAAAAGAAATAACTTGTGAAGTCTGATAGGTCATACAATTTACGGTGAGCAACATTCCCTAGAAGTATCCTGCAGGCGATCCTTGCTCTTAACCCTGCTAGCTCCTAACTAGTCTTTCTGGTGGTTTCTGCCAAATTACTAGTGTAAAATTTCTGTAGCATTCAGCATCTGGACCCCAACCTCTGAGCACTGCAGTGTTGTGTTAAGGTAAATGGCCTTGCTAAACCATCTGTCCCTGGCAAGTTAATGAAGGCTGTGAATGCTCCCTGTGGTTTGGGGCTGCATGTCAAATTTTTGAACTGCACCTTATGAACTGGGCTTTCTGCCCTATGGAAATGTACTAACAGTAGTTGCCCAGGAGCACTTGTTATTGTTCCACAGCCATGAATATGTTTTTCGCTTGGGCATCTGGTCTCTCAAAAGCGATAATACACCTCGTCAGTCCCACGTAAGTCTCCTTAGATCGGCTGCATATTACTGCTCTCCCCTGTTAACTTTTTGTTATTCCAGTATGGTAGTTACTGAATTTCAGAAGGAGGGGAAAAAAAGGTTTTACACAAAAGGATATAAATAAAGGAATGTAACAGGGAGCTTTATTAAACTTGCAGGTGTTCTCCTGCTAGATACAACAAAGCAATGTGTTGAATAATTTCTAGTGTTGCAGAAGAATTAATAGTAAGATTATTAGTCTATGTTTCTCAGAGTTCCTGTTTTCTGTGGTACTTGGTTGCTCCTGTGGTACTTGGTTGTTCCTGTGTTTGTGAACCACCATGCTATTTTGGTCTTTTGATTGTATCTACCTTTAGCACTGCATGACTCTCATTTTACCTACTCTGTGCTTCTGCATCTACAGAAATGTGAGTGTAGGTAGGGTAAAAATTACTTTGTAACCCTAAGTACAAGGACTGTCATTATCAAGTGCTGAAAAGAGCAATCAGCTTGATTAGGGACACGCTCTGAACATACATGCTGTTGTAACATACGCAAGCATGTAGGCATTTACACTTACTAACAAGAAAAAAAAAAGATGTGGAGAATCTCAGGTATACTTCAGGTGGTGTGTCACTGAAGACTTCAGGATGGATACTGTTCTCCAGTAAATAGAGGATGCATCAGAGCAATATAACCATGTCAAACTTTCCTCTTGGTATTAAAAATACCGCATTAGCTTTTCACCATGGTGGTAGCTATGAAATCAAACTCCACATTTCAGTAGGTAATAGTAAATTATAATGGGATCCTGGAGATATTGATGGTTACCTTACATAATTTATTTTACACCCCCCC